TTATATTGCAGCACACTCCTTAGAAATGATCATAATATTTTCTTTGCATAACATAACTTGTATTCTACTTCATACTTTTATAGATAAGCGTTATTTAATCCACACAAGCCCATTCTATCAATGAAAAAGCTAAAATCAGAAAGATTAAATGATAATTTAGTAAATGGTAGAGCTGGATATACATCTATTTGCAACATCTACCTATTAGGAGTCATGTTAAAATTTTATACATTTATAATTATATTAATTTTTAATGAACTATGTTTCTTTTCTAAGCAATGCACCATTTGCTTAATTTCTTAAGAGCTGCAATTAATATTTTCATCATCCATTTTTTTATTCTGATCAAAATCCACATAATTATAGTGTGTACTCTGTAATTATCTTCAAGTTGTGTTCCTTTGTACATTATATTTTCTCCACCATATTTAATGATTTTTAGTGGCATGAATTTGATTCTAGAGCTTATGACAGTGTTACAAAACCACATTTATGTCAATCTATATTTAGGACATCTTTATGGTGGAGTACCTTCATGAGATAACAGTTATCTCTAAAAGTAGCAGTAGCATATTGTTGTTTATCCTTATGTGATGCACTTTGATAAGAATACCTTCATAAAATACAATAGATTTGATAAAAACTGAAAAATCTTGTTTTTATGCTACTTATTGGCTGATACTTCTATTTTATCTTAGAACTGAATAAAGAAAAAAAATAGGGTAAATATATAGACTTGCAAAGCCCTTTAATAACATAATTAATCAAATAACATATATCACTTAAATAAATATTTATTTTAAATGCAGTTCCCTGTTGAATATACTTGATGCAAATATACTTTGATTACTTAGGCAATTTCAAAGCATGTCTGTATTACATTAATACATACTTATCTCACCAACTTACATTGTAAAATATCATGATTATTGCTAATTACTTTTCAGTATTTGCATTCAAATCTAAGATATCTTCATCCTATATATAACATAGTGTGGCATGGTAAGAATCACTAATATACAAAAGAGTACAGGCATATATTTGAGCATCCTTCCTATTGACATTCGAAGTCAATGAAATAAACAATATTTCACTTCATAAACAATAGTGTTGGCAAGCCTGATTACTACTTTATTTTGAACTTTTATTTACTCACCAGTGAGCATGAATATAATTTTCTTTTCTACATGTAGACAGTGTATCATAAGTTTAAGCGTGCATATCTTTTCAATAATAGGATTAGTTACATAATAACAAGCATTAATTTTATTTCTATAAGGAGGCACATTCATTTAATTTTGAAATGTACTCACTTGAATTATAAATTTTTCTTCCTCTGTATATAAAAATCTGGAAATACTTAATTTCATGTGATTATTTTCTTCTAACCTCTGCAAACATCTTTTAACCAGTGCATCAAATAACATTTCCTGACCTCAAGCAGTAATATCCACAGAGAAAACTCAGTTTCCAATCACCAATTTATCCCTAGGAATTATAAATACAGGATGGAAATTTAACATGAAGATTTCTGAAACTATAAGGCTAGTTAAATGTATTGCCAATTTAAAATGTGCACAGTTGTATACACAAGTCAACGAAAGGAGGGGATACCACAAAGATGGCCATATAAGGAGAACACAACTCTCTCTTTTTTCATATCACCTTTGAGAGAGATGTGTGATTAAATAGGCCAAATGTATGCATGTCTGAAACATGATACTCCTTCTCTTTAAAAACCACATTCCCTAGCATAGCCCATCACATACACAGCTTTGATGATTTCTTTCCAAATGGAAATACAATTTTTCTCTCCTCTTTGATCTGAAAGATGTCAAACTTCTCATTAAAAGAGTCATTCTGACAATGTCAAAGGGCAGAAGAGTTTAAAAATAATGCTTATATCAGAAGTCTGGATACTTTAAAAGAGAAACCCATATATGAAGTGCCTTGGAAGCTCTCTGAAAGAAAAAAGACCAGGGCATTTTAAATGAAAAATGTTCCCAGCTAGTGATTCTTTCATCTCTATATGCAAGAGGGAGACTGGGATTCAAGAAGTCTATCAGCAACAAAGCCTTACTCCATCCCGTTTAGCAGTTATGCCAGCCTGCTACCTCATGTTAAGATTATATAAGACCGTGTCCTTCCATTAGAAGAGTTCCTAAAATGGGCACTGTCAAGGCTGGTAAAATTGAAATCTGACCTACTTTTTCACCCAAAGATTTCCATGGATTTTATGGTAATTCTTTCTATACTTACAGCTCTCCTCCTTTCAAATAAACTATGTTACCTGAAATATGCTAGCAGGTGCTTTACTTTTTAGGTATTAAAGTAAAAATCTACAAAACACACACAAATTTCTCAAATATTTATTTCTAATAGTGAATTCCCTATAGTACTTTCTGCATAGGTCAGTATTATGATCTACTGTAAGCCTACTAGCATCCTGAATAAACTCCTACTAAAAAAATTATTCATTTGGAGCACATTCATAAAACGTCAGTAAACTGATCAGTCTAACAGGTAAGTTTGATAAAAAACTAACATGCAGATTTTAAAACATACTTTATTTGAAAGAAAAAGATTCTTTGTATTTTCAAGGCCATCGCATATAGCCTTTCCTATTCCCCTTTTAAAAATGAAGCATTACATTCCTGAGAGTGAAGAAGGTTGATGAATTAATTAAAATAGAAGGCAATAAGACCTTTTCTTTAAAAAAAATTTTTTTAAACTTTTGATCTTTAAAATTCCCAGCTGGTACAAAAGAAAATGAGAAATGCATTTCGAGTATCCACAACCACACATTTACAGACTTTTATAGCATTACTATAATTCAAATATAAATACTGTAGTTGTACTAAAATAATTCTCCAGCAATCACTAAGTTCATAGAATTTAATTTCAAATAAAAGGGGATGAAAGTATGCAGTCTTATGGAAATTATATGCATAAGACAGCATGGCATAATGAATACATTTTATTACATGATTTACAGTAATAAATATTTCTTATATTTATTCATTTTTAAGACTGCTCACTTCATTTTCCTTAACTAAGGCTTAAAAGTTTAAAAATATGGCCTGTATTCACTATGCTTAATTATCCATTTATCTATAATTTCAACTGAACAAAATGAGGACAAACTAGTTATAAATATTTATAAATAAATGAAACAAAAAATTAACTTTATAGCTTAAAACATACCCGTAGAACTTTATATAGTATATTTATATATATCTCAATAAGAGAAAAATGGATATGATAAAAAATGGACTTTAGTTTCATCAAAATAATAATCTTATTAACTAGACATTTATTACTCTAACTTTAAGGCTTTTTAAAATACAAAGGAAATAAAATTACTCTGTGTCCCTAAAAACCAAAGTAGTATGAGACAAAAGCTCACTGCATGTATTTCTCCTATTTTGACAATATTAAGTGAAACTCCATGACGAAAGTACTCAAACAGATCATATTTCCTATGGTCAAACAATGCATAATTCAAGACTAACTAAACTGAAAAAGGTTTAAAGAATACTTTTGGTAGTCTTAAATTCTAGTAACACAAAAGAAAGATAAGAATAAAAATAATAATAATAATAATCTCCAAATACATGCCACCAATCTTTGACTATTATTCTGCAGAAGTCTTTTTAATATATATTGCCAAAATTAATCATGTAAAACATACATTAAGTGGTTCATTCTTAAAGGCTAAGATCATAAGCTATGGTGTTTAATCAAAATCCTAAATGTGAAAATACAAAGTCATAAACACAAAGCACTAGAATTTTATAAATATAGCATATTAATACTCTAGGATAAAAAGAATTGGAATGAAGGAGCAGATAGGTAAACTTATGGGCTATCTTACAGACTGGAAATTGTAAGTTAAAATTCATGTTAAGACATCCACATCCTCAGACATATTATGGCTTTGTCAATACTTATGGCTATTGTAACACAGTTCAGAAAAAGTACAGAAAGGAGAATAAATGAGGCTAACTTTATCACTTCTGCTATAGACCAGTCATAACCAATAAATTTAGTTTCAATTTTTTTCCTATTTCTTTCTTGTATCATAAATGAATATGTTTATGCCGTTTACATCTGGCTCACATGTATAAAATCACTTTTTGAAGGACTGCCTATTATAAAAGGGCCATGTCTTTTGTGTTTATAACAAAATATAACTCATTTCAGTTATAAACTCAATGGAGAAAATAAGCATCAAAATTTAATCTAGTTTTTTAATATGAAAAACCTAAATTCCAAGGAGGCTTACAGGTAAATGATAAAATATGTGTTTTGGGCTCAGAAAATAAAAATCTAGGGAAAATGAGGATAAGTTAATTAAACTGAATACACTCAGTATTTCCCTGTGTTTTGTTTCTGTGTAGAAAGGGGAAGTAGAAATTCTAACATTTCTGCAATATATCCTCTACCCAAGTCGCTGCTTTCTCTTTGCCTAGTAGAGCAGTGTATTAAAGAAGGTGGTAAGGATGACGATGACATAATGACAAATAGGGATGGAGTCAATGCAAAGCAGTGGGCCAATCCAGCTTTTGAGAAAATAACAGCTGTTATGAATGGTTTTACTCAGTTTCAATTAAAAATGTATTTGGACAGACTTAGAAACTTTAAAAAACTATGTCCATAGCATTCTCATTCAGATATTAACTTCGATAAAATCTAATTGAAAAGATACATACGTATTTTTCCTAAATTTAAAAGCCCCAATTTCTTAGAAATTGATTTACTTTCCTCTGAAAATATCATCTGTGATAACAGAGGAAAAGAATTCATTTCCTGTAACTTCTAAGTTAAGAATACAATGGCCCAAATTTCCATTGATTCTGCTAAATAAGCAGTGCTAAATCATACTGGCCCATATTAGTGTCTTAGCCTAGAAAAGTCAGTGCTAACACCAAAGTGAAATTAATCTGAAAATCATAATTCTTAAAAATTTATAAGTGTATTACTGATGCTTTAACACTTACGGCTGTCGTAACATATGTTTCCTAGAGCCCTGCCCGTTTGAAGCAGCACTTCTTGGTCTTTGCTATTTAGCAGCTGCACCAGTGGTGAAATCAATCCAGCATCCACACAAGGAATTCGCATAAATTCTGAAAATAAGAGACATACTTAATTAAAAATTTAAAGACTCACAATTTACTAAATCACCTCACTTAATAAAATATTTACTTTCTAAATGTTTAAGATGGCTTAATAGTTGAAGAGTACATTTCTGTTCAAAAGTACCCTGTTACAACCCTACTAAATACTTCATGAAATAAATACACAAAAATGAGTGGGGTCATATTTTTCTTAGTTGACAGTCTCTACCATAAACCAAAGGGAGTTTTAATTAACTTGCATTAAAGCTAATTTATCATTATTTTTTATAATAAGTGTCTGTGCTATGGAAGCAATGTGCGATGATGGAAACATTGGCAAGGTGTTTTCTATGAGTCTGATGAAGTACTACAGTTACAAACTAAGCCATCGAATTGTGTACTTTTTCACCATATGTTCTCTAAAAAATTCAAAATATATTTTTAAAAAAGGTTTCAGTGAGTCATTAAAAATAACAAGTTCTTTTCAATTGGTAAGACCTGGTGAAGTCCACTCCTTGTCTTTATTCTTTAATAAAATCCATTTCATGGCTCACTCATATTTGCTGCCGTACCGATGCATTTATAGGTCTAAGCACCAATTGTTAAGATTTCTTAAACTTCAAACTTATTTTTTCTTTTCTTTATAGTATACCATTCTCTATTTATTGACTTCCAATGGTACCACTACAGTCATGATTAGAAATAAACTTTTTTTTTAAACATTATCTCATGATAGACCACTATAAAATTTAAGGATAATGAAGTGATTGATGATGAAAGTTCTCCAATAACCAATATTAGAATCATCATTTTGGACATCACCACTTACCATAGGATGTTCTGGTCAATACAGTTTGTCAACAAAGAACTAAATCCTCTACCCATAACCTGTCCTACTAAATAAAAATCACTATCTTTTCGCTCTCTCTCTTTCAAGGAGGTCTACTTCCTTAGTTCGTGCCCCGTGTACCTTCATAAGCAATCCTTCTTCTCTTTCCCTTCGTTTTCAAATTCTTAGAGCACACCATACAGGGCTATTGCGTGAGCTGTCACCTCTGAAATGACCTCTTAAAACTAACATAGTTTTAAGTCACAGAGGTGTTCCTCTCTAACTAAAGGATTTCATTCATATCATACCTCTTTCTTGTCACTGTCTTACAGAAAACCTCCTATAACTTAAACTCCTAAGACTGAGAGTATTTCCTACTTCTAAAACTAATCTTTAAGTTTATCTTTGATAGTTTTAACTCAGTAGTATGAGGTCTCCTATCACTCATGTTGGAAAAATACATTATGCTACACACATCCATGAATTCAATGACCAGCTATCGGAGATAACACACCAGTCTGCTTGTCTATCTCTTAATGGTTACTTACGAATCTTTATATTTCATATCTCAAATTAACATACCACCAACTAAAATTAATCAAGTTTTTTCCTTTTCACTAATCTATGCCTAGTTTCCAACAAATCATTTCATTGACTGCTAAAATAAGAAATTTAGGAATGGTCTGATTTGCACACTTATTTCATAAATAAAACTTGTTATATCTCATTTTGTTTGTTTTGTTGTTGCTATTCTTTAGGCAATGGCAACATTAATGAATTACTATTTGTCTTTGCTCTTATAGTTCTAATTATCTATTTGATATCAATCTCTCAAAATTTTGACTTTACAACCAATAGCTTCAGGTATTCTTGAAATGAGGAGAGTAAATTATTACAGAAAAATTATGGAATCAAATAAAACTATTCTTTTGTTTTTTTGTTTTTTTTACTTAAAAACATATAAAGATAAAACAGAGCTAGTAAATTCCTCATCTTTTAATCAACACTGCCAATATAAAAGCAACATGCCAGTCTCTGGACAAAGTAAACTCTTGCCAAAAATCTCTTGCTTTTCAGCCAATTTACTTTTTCAACTGAAGAGTAGCAGCTCTCCAAAGCTAATTTTAAAGACATGAAGTTATCATCCTTCAGACAGATTTATATAAAAATCATACCAGTAATTTATCAAGAATATGTTTAAAATATTATATATATTATGTTGGAGAGGCTTCAGAATGGCCTTGTTCAAAGGAGTTTCTACCACATACAACCCTAAGCCTGCTACTTGTTCACATCTGGCTAGATTCTGACTTAAGTCCAGTCTATACATAGGTTTGCCAATAGCCTAATGGTATATTTAGAAAAATCCGCTAAACAGCAATGGTGATAGACTTAAGAGAAAAATGTTGGCCAGGCATGGTGGCTCACACCTGTAATCCTAGCACTTGGGAGGCTGAGGCAGGAGGATTGCTTGAGGCCAGGGGTTCAAGACCAGCCTGAGAAAGAGCAAGACCCCATCTTTACAAAAACAGAAAAATTAGCTGGGTGTGGTAGTGCATGCTGGTTATCCCACCTACTTGGGAGACTGAGGCAGGAGGATTGCTGGAACTGAGGAGTTTAAGGATTCAGTGAGCTATGATGATGCCACTGCACTCTAGTTTGGGAGACAGGGCAAGACCCTGCTTCAAAAAAAAAAAAAAAATCAGAATCTCTCTCTTGGCAACTTGAACTCATAGACTAAAAAGTTCTTAGGGTAGGGGTAAGGAAAGGATAAAATTAAGCTACATAAAGAATGACAGCAAGTAGAAATCAAAGTCAATGGAAGCCATTAGGTTGTACCGTAGAAAGTAGAAACCACTAAGTATTTGTAAATATGTGTGTGTTTATGTATATACAACATAGAATTAATTTTGTTTTCTGCATGTTTATATTTTAATGTAGAAATTCAATGCAGAAACTTTAAGGAATAGGGATTGTTCTATCTCCATATTAATAAAATTTAATAACATAATGTTGATTTTCATCAAAGACTATTTTTCCTTTAGAACTGTAGTAATATATTCATTAACTGCTTGTTGATTATTTCTATTCCTTTCTAAATCCACAGTGTTAATTCTTTACTTTTTTACTTTCCCAAACCTACTTGAATTACATATTTATTCAGCAGCATCATAAAGACCAGGCTATGATGAAAACCACAAAATAAAATTATTTTCTTTTTATATACACTGAGATTTATAAAACCTCCCTTTACATATCTCTTTATCAAATATTTAAAAAACAGATACAGGTTGTATCTTCCCAACTTTCACCTACATGAAGGAACTAAATACTTCATTAATACTTTTAAACCAAAGTTTATAAGCCAAATAAAAACAGTGAGTACTAGAGTCTACCTTAATGTTTATTATACTAAATCATAATATATATTCAGAGTTTGAATTTTCTCTAATAACCGCCCCCCGATTACTTCTTAGCTTTTTATATTTTTCTTTTGAAGAACAAGGAAAACTGAGGCATGAATATAAAAGAATGATTGACTTTTGTACGTGGGTTGTCAAGCTGACATTATTTTTCATTCACACTTTGTATTTGCTCTTGTTTTTAAATATAATACTGATAATCATTCTTACAAAATAACTGAGGTTAAGCTTCCAACACTAAAGTGTCAAGATACACTTTAAGCTACCTGACAACAATTTTTCTGGAGTGTCAATTTTACTCAACAATTTTTCTAGGACACACACACATTTTACACTAAAATACATATGTACTTGTTATGGAGTAGAGGGCAAATTTAAAATAAATAAATTTGTAAGACAGAACAGGAGATTTCTGTGTCTTTGGTAGTGCCCTCCCCAGATCCTCTTGGGTATATACTTTGACTGTTTTGTTGTCAAGAGTATGCAGGCATGAGTTTTGATAAATACTTTTGCAATCTAATAAAGTACAGATAGGAAAAAAACAGCATATGTTGACCCAAACTACTGATCCTGTACTGTTTTAGACTGAGACTTGATTCTCAAGATTTATACTCATCCCCCAGAGGACTTTGTTAAAACACATGTCTAGGCCCCCTCTGAGTTCCTGATTCAGTAGGTCTAGGTGAGTGGATCCAAGAACAATTTGTATCGAAGAAGTTCCTGGGTGCTTGTGTTGTTGGTCCAAGGTAGAGAACTGCTTTAGAGGAATAGACATGAAGTGGCTCAACTTTTGCTTGTTTTTACACATTTTCACTTCAGTTACCAGCCCAATCTTTCAGTTTATATGCTGCTATCCCTGTACTCAGACAACCAGTACACTTTCCACTGCTATCATCATAAAGTCTCACTGAAAATAAGTAAAAGGAGAGGAAACAAAGTGATGCATAAATTCCATCTATTAACACTAAGTGTGAAGATAAGCAAGATTTCTCATGTATATAAAATAACCCTATCTCATATGGGATTGTTATGAGAATTTGAAATAATGTACACAACACTTGAAACAACATAGGCACATATTAGTAGATAGCATTACGATTTATTATAATTATTATTATTCTATTATTATTAGATACCTGGAGAGTCCAGTTCTAAAAAGCAGAAAATAGTCACAGTATTTCTTATCTTGCTTATTTCTCCTTTGCCTTACATCAGTTGTAAGTCTATCATATGGGGGATATTTTATTTAAAAGGTCTAAAGTTCTTTTACTACAATTTATGGTCATAGCTATCCTCCCACATTAAACTCGCCTGTGGAACTTTTTACTAAAACCCTCTCTATGAGTTCTGAACGTCAGTACAAAGTCAGGTATGTTAATTTTTAGAGAGTCTTTTTTGTTATGTTTTGGGTTTAATATAAATCTAAGAAGTATATGCTAATACTTCTCCTCCCTGCAAAGCAGGGTAAAGATGAACAAATCAACTTCCAGCCTCATTTTTTTCTGGTTCATATAATCTTTTTTCACTGTCAAGTTTCTAATAAGAAGAAATACAAGCCCAATTAATATAGTGTTATGTCATGTTGTATTTCTAAAGATATGTATTTGTTTTAAAAAGAACACTCAACAAGATTCTATCGAGTCCACTTTTTCAGCTAGTCACTGAAAAAAGCATTGTGGTGATTAAGCAATAATCATCCAAGTATATCCCATTTATTTTAACTAGTAGAGGTTAGTAATATGCCCTTTATCAGCCTCTGATTAAAAGGACAAATGTTAAAAAAAAAAATTCTATTATGTTTTTAGAACACAGCTGTCATCTACTAGAGTATTACTAGAAGAAACCCAGAGCAGCAGAGTTGTCATGAAACCGTGATGAAGCATTCTGAGGAATGATGTTAAAAGTATATAGGAATGGTAATCATTACACAAAAATCTATCATCCAAAATTTCTGAATATATCCTATAATGTGTAACCATTCTTAAGTAAAAGGGTTTTAAAACAAAAATTGTGGGATTTCTACTTGATTTCTGGAAATCTATATTGTGAATCTAATGAGGTTAAAAATAAACTATTTGATCTTAAAAACCAAGCTGCTTTGTATCTATTAAGATTCAGATACAGGTTGATGGGGGGGGAGGGTAACAATGTCTGAAAAAGATTCATTTTCAAACCAGATCTGCTTCCTGGATGTGGCGTACAAGCAAGAGGTAGCCATTTTTCAGTCAACACTGTAAAAATGGTTTACCAATATAGAACTTAATTGGAACTTAAAAGGCATTTTGAGAACTTCTAAGCAAATGGCAAAGTTTCTCAGCAATTTTCTTTTTGGTAACACACTTCAGAACACATTGTTTTACAGGCCAAAAACAACATATACTGACTGGTACTTTACACAGAGCCACCTGCCATGGTGATTATACAAATGAAGCCAGAATTTAATTTCTTTTCTTTAAATTATAATATATGCAACACTGTAAAATAAAAGAACTAAAAATATCAAACTTTGAAAATTGAGGCACACTAAAGTTATTATATTTAGTATGGCCTTCCTTTATGCTTAAAAAGTCCTTTAGGAACTCAGTATTTTTCTTAATCTGACTGAATTAAAATCATGTGCAAATATTTTTGATATAATATAATTTCTCTAAAGAATCTCTCACTGTATAAACAATGACATGGATTAAGTATTATATAAGCTAAGCTTGTTATCATTTTTCCAGAATATTCTTACATAGCAATTTAATAAATATATGTTTTCCATGAAGGTGAGTGTAAAAAACAGAACATATTCCAACTACACTGCTGAAGGGAACTGCCAATGTCAGGATGATAGGTTAAGACTAAAAAAAGTATAGTTGACTATATGTGGGTATAACACAAACAAACAAACATTAAAAAATGTTCTTAGGTCTTATGAAAAAAAAAGTATGCTTTCCTGTGACAATGAAGATGAATGACTCAATGGCAAGCTCAAGAATCCTACACCCAAAGTAAAAGTGACAAAGGTGTAGTTGGGACTAGCAGTGCTTTCCCTAATTTTACTCCAAAGGAATGGAATAGCAAATGAGAAATGTATGAACAGAATGACTATAACTATAATCATTAAAGACAATTACGTTGAAAAAGTCAAAGAAAGAGAAACAGAAATAAAAATGTCTAATCTATAAAATTAAAACATAAATTAATAAAACATACTGACAAGTAAGGTGTAAAACTGAAGATGTTCCCAGCAGAAAAATTCTTGAGGAAAACCTCACCATTTTTGGCTACTTCTGCTATGATGTTAGCTACTTTGGCTGTGCAGGAAGACTGTGGAGTCAACAGACTTGCAAACAGCTGAAGTATTCCGCTTCCTTGTATTTTTTCACTTGTTTCTGTATCTGAAAGAGAAACGTGCAAAGACCTTCAATGACAATCTTTAACATCAACACTGACAACTGTATCTACAATAAATTCTTCAAGAATTTTCCCATCCATAATATAAATTAGTTTCAGTATATATTCAAATGTATGTGTTTATGTAAAATTACCTTTGCTCTGTAAGTGGCTTTTATCTTGAGCTTTAATCTGCAAAAAACACTTGATAATATTTTGTCTATCTACACTCAGATTATAAAAGAATTCTTTCTGAATATATCATTTGCATATCAAACTTACTCTCAATGTTAGTTTCAACCCCATCTATTCAGATTATAAAATGCTTTTTTTCTACATCCTTTTTGAATTTTAAAAGCTATAATGGCTTATTATTTTATATAAACTCAATGGTTCCCTATAATGACATAGCAACTTTTTAAAATGGCACTTATAATATAAGCAAAAAACTCACCTTAAATCATTTTATATGGAATGAATGAGTTTTCATTCAGCTATTGCTGAGGAGATTATATAGTTCTATACGATACCTATGTTTTTCATACAACTCATTCAAACCACCATTAATGAAGGGAACTACAAAAATTCACTCTACTTAGAGATATATTCAAGAGGCCCCTACTTCTTTCTTTTCCTTCTTTGTTAAAATACAAATAAAGAGCCTACAAGACTAAGCTATTTCATGTATCTGTTTTCGAAAGAATGACTTATTGACAAATAATAAAGCAAAGCTCAGGGAATAAAAATTACTATTTGCAAACAATGAGGGTAAATAAAACGTGTTTAACGTAGAGGGTTGTATGGCTCATTAAAAGGCTCATTAAATTTGTGTCTATATGTAGCTCTGCTAAATCCTTTAGATCCTTGGATAGACATACAAATAATAGAGAATCCTAAACATTTTTTAAGTAAATGGCAGTTGATCTGATCAATTAAGAAAATCATTTTTTACAGAATAATTTGAGTAAGTATATAGAAAAGTAAATAATGTATTTCTTTTTTTTTTTTTGAGACAGAGTCTCATTCTGTTGCCCAGGCTAGAGTGAGTGCCGTGGCATCAGCCTAGCTCACAGCCACCTCAAACTCCTGGGCTCAAGCGATCCTCCTGCCTCAGCCTCCCGAGTAGCTGGGACTACAGCATGTGCCACCATGCCCGGCTAATTTTTTTTCTATATATATTAGTTGGCCAATTAATTTCTTTCTATTTATAGCAGAGACGGGGTCTCGCTCTTGCTCAGGCTGGCTTTGAACTCCTGACCTCGAGCGATCCACCCGCCTCGGCCTCCCAGAGTGCTAGGACATTAGTGAGCTTTGAAATCTATTTGGTGAATGAGGACCAGCAATTCATTAAAAAGAAAAATAGAATTACCACCACCTACAACAACAACTAAAGAATAGAAAACAAAATTGCACATAGTAAAGTGAAATATTGTTTGTGAAACTTTGTTTTGAATTATGCATGTGCAACTGTACACATATAGGTACCATATATATATGTCAAATGTATTTCTGATCATCAGTTTGTATAAAAACTTAAAAACCATTCTTCCATGCACCACCTAACTATCAAAAATTCTGATTTAAAGAACTGTAACATTCCCAGTATATGCTTTTATTTTGTTTCTTGGACTAAAAAATAATTTTTAGGGTATCACCTGAAAATGTGACAGCTAAGATCCATGTTGCCCTATGTTAAAATCCTGCCTTTTCTGACCATTGCTACCAGAAGATGTACAACCTTAGAACACCAGGTCACACTGCCCCAGGGGTCTAGCCCCACCATCTGTTGGTGCTGGGATGTCAGCAAGAGTCTGGCATAAGGCATGAATCATGATTAGATGTGAAGCTGAGGCATTTGTGTGTGTAGAGGCGAGCAGTTAACTGCAAATCACCCAAGCATGTCTCACTTTATAACTAAAAGAATGGCTTAATATCAGAGCTGAATGTCAGGGGCAAGGGGAGAAACAAAACAAAATAATGCAAACTCTTACACTCTGGAGAGACTTTCCACGGATTACAATCTAATGAATTGGAAGGATAGCAGTTCTAAAATAGGAATCAAGAATTTGGGAATAGTATTTTTTATTGCTATTATTGAAGAAATAAAAGTGGAAAACATAATCTGGTTTTTCATATAAATCTGATTTACAATTTAGAAAAATCTAACAGGACTTCTATTTAACTGCTAGCATCAGATTTTTGTGTAGGTTTAGAATTTAAGCATCTGGGAATTTACCTTTTTACTTTGGCATAAAAACGTAAAGAACAAAATACTGCTTATTGCTAAAACACCGCTGTCCAAGAAATAACTACAAAGTTTTAACTTCATTTCCATGTATACTTTCTGCACTGGCATTCTATTACATCTCAAGATGTGTATTAACCTGTGGACTGAGGATGTTTCCAGATATTTGTGAACACCCTTGAAATGACTTTAAAGGGCATTAACAAGTAGTCAGAGGTTGATGTTTGCAAGTCCAAATGAAAGCTACTTGTACAAGTAATAATAATAATGCATTGTGATCAGGAGTCCATTGAAAAAAGTAGAATTTACATTATCTTTAGCCAGACTACTATTGACATTTTAACTACATTTCTTTTAAATGTTTGCAGGAATCAATTCTGCAAATCTTTCTCCCCCTTCACATTTAGGTACGGTCGTAAAAATATTTGAGTATGCCTACAAATTATAGGCAGCTGGCAGTCCTTGAATTTTGAAGGACCTATATATGAAGGGCAATTGCTACTTTACATTGGTATCTGTGGGAACTACTGCAGGAGTCAAATACATCACAAGAGCCCTTGCAATCCTGCAAGTCCTCACTCTCTCTCTCTGAAGCTCTATGTTCATGCTCTGCCTAACCTGATGGCAAGGAGGCAGCTTAGTTATGACACTGCCAGTGAAACAAGGAAAAAGAAAACTGGGCAATGAGGCCAGAGAAACCTGAAAGAAGAGTAAATCAAGAAGCCATGCTATGAAGCCACATGGGAGAAGCTAAAGCACAACTCGCACAACTCCTCAAGGCCAATACTCGGGGCAAAAGTTCCCAACAAAGCTGCCAAGTAAATATATTAAGATAACTGGCTTTGTAGTTAAATACCAAGAGGGAATTTTCAGGTATGCTACTACAACAAGCTGAATTGATGATATTATATCATGAGAATAAATTAATGAAAAGTATTTGATAACCAATTTATGGTAAATGTCAAGATAGAAAAATAAAATGACTGCTATTATTATGACTCTATTAGGTTAAAAATGTATTTGGATTAGATTGATAATACAGCTTGATAGTAATAAAAACGCTTTAAGTTTTACTTAGAGTTATGAGAACGATGAAGAAGTGATATCTTCATATTGTGCGTTCTAGGGGTCCCTAAGGCAGGCTGTGAGAAGACAGGTTTTCAATGAGTATTCAGATATGGGACTGAATATAAGGACCAGGAATATGATTCAAAGGCCCTGGGTATCCTGGTCTCTAGGGAACTGTGTATTTCTCAAGGGGTAGATTTTTTTAAACAAGGTGTAACAAAGAGACCTAGCCCTGTGCCTGGTGATCTGATTCAAATCCAAGGCCTCATTTACTACCACAGAGACAAATTCCAAATCCTTTCCTTTTATCCACCAGAAAACAAAACATTTGCACTTGGATATATCCTAAATATCTCAAATTTAACATGTGCAAAATCAAATTTACCCTCTTTCCTCTGAATTCATTCTGGTCTCTATCTCAGTAGGGGATTCACTGAAGCCACAACCTAGAATAATTATAAATTTTTCTCTTAGTAAATGGTTTGCTACCACTCACATTTAATCAGAACATAGGTCTCATAGATTCTGTTTAGCTATCTTTTGCATCTATCTTTTCCTTTCTACATTCGTGTTACTTTAAGTTCTCAGTTCTGACCTTTACTAAATGCAACAGCTTCCTCAAGAGTCCCCCTAACTTGAATTTGCCTCCCCCACTAATCTATCATCTACACTGGGTCACCAGAATAAAACCTCTAGAAATGCAAATTTTACATCATTTCCCTAAATCTTTAACGGGTCCTCCAAAACTTTTGATTAAACATTCAAGCACATCCATATTTCCCAATCCTATCTCCTGATACTCCTCCATAGACATCCTACACTCCAGCCACACTAAATTACTTAAAGTAACCCAAATTAATCATCTTATTTCATAACTTTCCAGCATATGATGTTCCCTCTCTGAATGCCACCCCCCTAACCCTTCCATTTTAGTTAATTCCTACTCAGACTCACACTGTCCTCATTCAAAGGTGCTTGACTAAAAGCTATTCAATCTTTTTAACGATATCTGACTACCATAAAAACTTTATGTCTTAACTTCATATTGAGAGCATCTAAACAAATTCACAAAGCATTTTCATATATATTATCTCTTCATTTTTAAGTGATGTGAGATAGCCATTATAGGTCACGTTCGTCACATTACAAGGCCATATGATATCTTTATATTGGAAAATGAATAAGAAACCAGTGTTCCTAGTTCCTAGTCTAATGCTCTTCCTGCTACAACTGTCATTTGAAAACACATGTTCACGACTATGCGTTGGCTGGATATGCCAAATGATTATGTGAAAAATATTCTTATTTAATATCTCTTAAAGGAGTAAAAACTAAGATAAGACAACAGAAAGGGATGTATAATATTCTCAGGTAGCTAAACTGAGGCAGTAGTTAAAGGAGAGAAAGTGAGCTGAGTATACAGAGAGTAATGTAGGTTTAAAAAAAAACTTAAAACACCAAAGAGGAATATGCAGAGTATATGTAGGTTAAAGTAAAGGCCAGATAACTAAGAAATCAATGTTTCTAAAAGAAAATCGAAATATAGGAAGTGGGGGAGAAGGGTGGGAACAAACAAAATGGCAATTCTTTCACTGATGACAACTTATTCCCCCATAAAGGAAACTGATTAAGGTTCTTAAGCAAACAAAAGGAACATGAGATTCAAGGAAAAAATGATGTATGCAGTCATGA